TGCTAATTTGAAGATAATCACATAGTCGGATTCTATGTAAAGAAATTCAAAAATATCTGTAAAATTTCAAAACGAATATTTAAAAAATAGCCCTGTAGATGTGATCAATTGTTATTGTCCGCCATTTTGTTTTTTCTCCCAACGCATGCGCAGTGCGTTTTTCATCAGTGTCGGTAGAGGCTATTTCGCAAGACTCAAAACGACATCCCGAAAATGACGTCACCTTCGTGTTCCGACGGATTCGTTCCGTGTACCGACTCGTGACGTGTTTCCGGTAGCTTCACTAATCGAGACAATCATTCCGTCGGGAACACGAAGGTGACGTTATTTTCGGGATGTCGTTTTGAAAGTTTGCAATTCTTGAAAAGGTCTCCTCAGTCTGCTAGAAGATGAAGGCAAATATGTGAACGAAAAGGTTACATTTTCATTTATTGTTGGCTATTGTCAGTTTACAATAGTCTGTATTAAGTGCAAATTGTTGCAGAGCAAGCGATCTATTTATTTGACGATGAGTTATAGTGTAGAATGTTCATACCTATTATGATTACCATCAAAAAATCGTACAAAATATTCAAGCTAGAGTCGGCTAGAGCATAGAAACACGGAAATCCGCTGTCTTTAATTGTTTAATCTTGTTTTTTTTTTTGTTTGTTTGCGAAACGCACATTCGATATGCTTTTTCTTTGTGAGAAATGCTCAAAGGCTGGAAGCTTCGACCCCAAAATCGCCATCAAACAATACATTTATCTGGAGTTTGTCGCTCTTCCTCTTATCGCTTGCCAGTCAAACTTTGTAACTTCACACACTGGATATCTAGTAATATTATTTTCTTCTTTTCGGTTTATTTTCTCAAAGGGTTTACGAAAAGAAGGCCTCATATTTTTCCTTTCACTTTCACTTTGCTAAGACTCTGATCGTGCTGGATGATGAGATTGACCAGTCCACTCAGCTGGGGGCAAACAAAACACGAGAGAAGAAGAAAACTACAGTGTCATTGTTATTGTTATTAAAAGGTAGGTAAATTTCTTCACGGTTTTTTGAATATTTCTTTTATATTTTATACACCGACTGCCGGCTACGTATATAGCAACCACAAAATTTAACCCATCGATTATTACTCGTGCTCGGGGGGCACGAGTTTAGGTTTCGGTTGAGTTCGATCGGTCGAGTTCTTGTGTATGTTATCGAGTTTTTGGGGCTCCTGTGGCATTACATCATCCCTTATCATTGTCGTGTGATTTCAAGCCGAGACGATAGCGAAGCGATTTTTGGTTAACTATTAATGATTCTTCTCCTCGAGCAGTATTTTCTGCACGAACAAGCGAAGATCAATAAGGAGAACAGAAACAAATTCATTCAGCACGACTTTCTTTCTTTATTTGCACTCATGATATACTTTATACTTTACAATAACAAAATAGATGATAAATTAACACGTAAAATATAGATAGTGAGAAAAAAATTATGAGGTGCTGGGGAGCTGAAGTAACAAAAGTTTTCAAAGCCAGCTCCCCATCATTCACTTATAAATGACAATATTAAATATGATATACAGATACGCGAATTGCTTTAGTAAAATGAAAGAGATATACAGAATTAGTCATATGAATCCAAACAGTTATTTTTCAAAGTTTTAGAAAACAGTGATCGTGAGAGC